GACTCTGCAACCAAGAACCAGAAGTAAAATCACATCTAATCACAGGCTTTTTGTCCTGATCTTTCTCTGTATTTAGTCTTTTTTCCACTGATCCCAGTGTTTTTTCTCCACAGATAAACATGAACAACAATAGCCTTAACGCTAACTGCACAGTGGAAGTCCTTCAGGGTGTGGCCTACAGCCCTGTCTTCATCGTGGGTCTCCTCGTCAACGCTGCCGCTCTGCGAGCCTTTATATCAAAGCGTGACTCCTTCACTGACACCCACATCTACATGTTCAACATGGTCATAGCTGATTCTGCCATCATCCTCGTCCTCCCCTTCAGGATCTATGATGCATTCTTCTGCTTGCCAAAGACCTACATGTGCACCGTCCTGCTCTACGTTCACTTTGTTAACATGTACGTTAGCATCTTGACGGTCACAACCGTCAGTGTGCAGCGTTACTTGGCCATTAGGTTCCCTCTGCAGGTCAGAGTGATGAGAAGGAAGAAAGTGGTAGCATGTGCCGTGTGTCTCTTCATCTGGGCGCTCATCCTGACAATATGTGTCGTCTTCAGGAAGGAGAACTACCCTGACAATCTCTGGACGTGTTTCGAAAGATGTAAAGATCGACCACTTAGGCTAGCAACTATTGTGATTCTGGATGTGACAGGTTTCCTCATTCCACTGGTGATCATTGTCTTCTGCTCCAGCCAGGTCATCACAGTTCTTTTAAAGGCTGACAAGGATCAGACAGGGACTGAATCAGAGAGACGGAGGAGCATCACTGGAGTAATCTCAGCAAACATGATTATCTTCATCGTCTGCTACACACCGATACATGTTGCCTTTCTGGTCAACTTCTTGTACACTCCTCCTCCAAACTGGCACGAGGTGCACACTGCTCCACATGTGTTTTTACTCATATCTGAATGGATTGCTGCCACAAACTGCTGCTTTGATTCCATCAGCTATTATTTCCTACTGAAACAGTTTTATTCAGCAGCAAAATTAACTCATGGAAGTTCAAGTAAACAACAACCTAGAGTCTTTTCATAGCAGAGATGAAGAGGTGACCTTGAGAAGCCTCTCAGATCAGACATCTGCACAGACAGTAAATATGGGTGGAGCTAATCTATGTGGTTCAAATGTATTATAAGCCAGAGAGAAATAAAAAAAGTCTAAAAAAAAAAAGATTTATTTACTTACAATTCTTTTGCTCCCAAATATTGATTTTATTTTTTATATTATAATTCTGCCAAAACGGGGTGAATACGCACACACAAAACTACCATGACAAGAATAAGCCAATGGGCATCAAAAGGTAACCCCCTGCCCCCCCAAAATATATATATATATAAAGGGTTTTAGTTTTCAGTGTTTTCCAATATCATTGCTGCTTTAAAGTCTGTGTAGTCTAATCTAATCTAATCAGGATTAACAGAGGTTCAGTATCAACATAGGCCGATGCTTTATTGTATATATATTAAAGCAGACAAAGACGACAGAGAGACTGGGAGCTCAGCTCAGCAGGCAGACAATGGTCAGTCAACACACAGACACCCATGGGAGGTACTGTCTTTCGTTTCCTCAGCAGAATGAAGATGAATTAAGGCCAGTATCAAGCTCCCTCTAGTGGCAAGAAAGAGGACACTTCTCTTTTACTGCGTTGCAACGATCTCTTAATTTGGCAGAAACATATTCCTCCCTCACACAAAACAAAACAAAGAAGAATAAAAAACAGTTGCAATGACACACACATTACACCAGACTTATGTAAAGCAGCATCTGTGAGTGTGTGTAAATGTGCTGAAGTGTATAATAATATGCATTTATTTAAGTGAGCGCGTTCAGCATGCACACACCACGTTTGCAGTCAAGTGTATAATGTCATTTAATAGCAGTACTCCAAAGATGGATGGTTCTTATAACAGCTGTATCTTAGCAACTGCAAAAAAACCCAGTCAAAGGAGATGGCTCAGTTCTGGCTGAGATCAGGCCCATGACAGTACTCCAACGCCAGGCGGGGAAACAGCTGAGCTCAGCAGTCAGCCAAAATACTCCAAATACGTTTTATTCACGTATTCAAACAAAGCAAAACAAGTAGAAAAAACATAAAAAAACAAAAACAAAACTTAAACTCAGTCCTGGTCAGAAGAGCTTTAATAACCCTCAACCCACATTCCCCGAAAACAAAACCGATACACTATACTATCAACATGAGTATTTACAGTATTCACAAATGATACAGGACGGATCCTTTCAGAATGCAAAACATGTGCTTTTTCATTATTACTGCACAGTGAAAATGACGCCTATAACACAAAAGAATGAGCACAAGTTCCAAGCTCCTCCACTGTGGCAGTTGGTTTGTTGTGTAGACACTGAGTCACTAGACTACAGAGAAGTCAAACATGAGATATACAGTGGTCCATCCTCAGTCTGTATGAAAGAAATGGACCGTAGACTGTATATGAGAAGTGGACACAGCCAGCTGTAGCACTCCAGAGTGGGGTCAGGAGTTAGTCCCAAGCGTCTGACTGAACATGTTGTCAGTTTTTCCATTCTTAATTGCATTTACAGAAAACAGGACAAAATATTAAATAAAAGGTGACGGAACTGAAAATACATCCATTTCCAATGGAACAATCACTGTATATTTTAAAGCAGTGGTTCTCAAACTTTTTGTACTCTGTACCACCATGATGACCAACATTAGAATATAGCAGCATAGGCCTTCCCTGTTAGCTTCCACCACAGGAGAGATGTTTATAAAGATAAACATCTTTATGAAAATGTTGTATTAATTGTGCACAGAATGTTTCAGATATCTTCAATTCAAAATCTGAAAATGGGAATTTTCCCCGCATATCACTAGAGAGCGCTCATGTACCACCTGTGGTACGCGTACTGCAGTTTGAGAACCACTGTTTTAAAGGCTTTTATCTGCAACCACTGCCTGCAGAGATAACGTTTATCTCTTATATACCATCTGTGGTCAAGGAAACTGCAGAAAAGAAAAAAAAGAAAGGCTGTAAACAACCCAGTTAACAGGGACAAATGAGAAAGGAAGTGCTAGTCTCATGTATTTCCTTTTCTTACACGTTTGTCCCAGAAAGTTAATTGCCCTTTTCTTTTTCACCCATCACATATACAGTATCACAGTGTGCATTTCCTGCACCAGGTCACGTCTCCCTCACTATCTCACTTTTAAAAGAATCTCTGGAGCAAAGTTACTATGACAACATACTGACATCATTTATAGTCATTTTCAAGCTACGTCGTAAACACCAGACCCACAGAGCCAACATTAGAACAACACTGCAAGTGCAGCGTGTTTCTCTGTAAATACTGTCGGAGTCATTGAGGAAGATGAGGCTGCTTCTCAATCACTTCATAATGGGATTCAAAATTTTCACTAAGAGTTTCCTTTACAAATACCCAAGGGCCCGCTGCATCTCCACAGATGCATTAGCCTGTAATTAAATTGCATGCAAATGTGGTGAACTTTAACAAATGTACTCAGTAGATTACTGTGGCCTTTGTTCAAAGGGCAGCGTAATTAAATTCAATCTGCACAGTCTGTACTTTCCATGGAAAAACACAAATATTAACAATACATAATTCACAACACTAAAAAAAGAATCATTTAGGATGAACTCAAATAGATGGGAATCACCTATCCAATCAGCAAAATAAAGAATATGTATGTCCAACTTTTGCAATCAGATGGCTAGGTCCATGTTCTATATACGGTCTATGGTTCCCTCACAGCGCTTCAGTACATTCCAAGGTCTGCAGAAGAACTAATTATCAGCCATGGAGTCACTACATTTCAGCTATTAAAAAATAAAGCACAGTCCATGTCAGTGTACATCAACAGTTTGATCATGAAGGTAATGAAAAAGTTGCATTTTTACATATTTACAGTGGAGTGTAGTTTATAAACAGAACCCCCCCTCTACCCCCTCCAAAAAACACTTTTCAGCATCAGCAGTGTGCCATGGAATGAGCCGCAAACAAAGCATATCAACAGTACAAGCCAAACAACTAAATGACTGAACACAACATTCAGCGTGGAAGGCCAAAGGTGTACATATCACACATACAGTATACTGCAATATTCACTGTAGTCCATGAAAAAAGCTGCGGTGTTGATTGAAATGGTCGTCATGGCACTTTAATTAAACAGGAATCAGTTTTTTTGCTTTGTCAATAAATCATTCCTTAAGTCTAAAACAGGAATGTTAAAAAAAGAAGAGTGATTTCAGTCCTGGAGCAGATCTGAAATGAAATTTACACTGAAACAGATTTACATATATTAATAGTTAATTGACGACAAATTGATGACAAGTTCACTTTTTGTTTGCAAGCCTAACGGTTGGTTTTGTCTCATCTTACATGGTCATTTATCTAAATTAAAATGTACTATGTACAGATGAACCATATTGCTGCTCACCGTGAGGTCAGCACAAACCAGCGCTTGTTCTACTGGCTGTGGCTGCAACAGTCCAATCAGCTACAACAGAACCATACTCTCATTATTTTCTATTGTTGTTGTTGTCATTGCACTGCGTTTCATCATGTTCCCTTTTGATTCGGCGTTTGTCATCGTTATCTCGTCTCTTTTTATGACTTTCATCTTCTCGCTAACGCACGCGGGCCATGTTGGGTTGATCTAAACACAAACCATTTCATGCAGCTGGACGTTTTAATATGCTAAATTTATAGCCCCATTTGCCTGCTGGGAACATTTCCATTGCCCCTGCTGGCTCTCAGTGAAGCTAGAAGCGTCAGGCTGCACCACTGGAAGGGTCACTTTGTTCAGGATTATCTCCACGGCCCTCTGGCCTACTGTGGATACAAGAGGGATGCAGTTATTTCCTTAAGAAATAAAAAAATATTTAGAGTGTATGCAGAGAATGGACCGCAGGGATGTTGCCCTTTGACCGATTTTCTCTCTTTCACTTTTTGTTTTGCGACACATCATTGTGTGTATGTTAACTTGAAGTAAACATTAGAACCAGTGGGTGGCAGTAATGTAAAGATATACTGGAGGACGCAAAAAAGTGTGTGTGGGGGGGCAGGGTCAGCTCACAGCTGAGTCTAAAAGAGACCAACTACTTTTGAACATAAGTAAAAAACCAAATGAACTATTGAAACATTTTTACGTGTGGATTATGTTTCAAAAGTACTTAGGGTGTACGGCCCCACAGACGAGGCCAGCTAACGCTAAAAATATTCCTTCCTCCTATGGAAAACAATTAGCCTGGCTACAGAATTAGATGAACATAATATTGTACTGTATTACAATCAAGTCAAAGATCAAAGATCAAACTGCATTTTAGCACCCCCTTCTGTAGAGAAAGTGATAACTGCATGATCCGTTTACGCCAACACCACATCCAGAAGTTCTGCATATGCTACCTTTGGGAGTATATTTGCCCAGTAACAACAGACGCTGCCTTATAATGATGAATCTATAACCTGTGTGGAACAGTCATTTAAAAACAGTGATTTTCTATTTTCTTCCAGTGTATTGAAAATTAAAATCCAAACTCTCCAAACCTCCCTTTCTTCTGTACGTCCACTGTTGTAATGTTACCTTTCTCAACTCTCTCAGGGATTATTAGTCATCAAAAGAGTTTGTGGAGTGAAAGGAGGCAACCAAATAAGAGCAATGGGTTCAGCTGAGATGCCGTCATTACAGAGAGCATGCAGTTGGCAGAGAAAGTGCTGACGTTGCAGTCCTGCGCTCTGAGTTATGGTCCTTTATTCCCATGAGACAGCGTGGAGGCATTTGGCACTCAGGTCCTCACTCTCATATACATGGAATACTAAATAACCGCCTATACAAACACAGGGATCCTCTTCTGATATATGCACTGTCTGAGCGCAGCGGTGAGAAAGACAAACTGGGAGTCGCCTCAAAAAATCCATTCAATTTGTTTTTACCGTGCGTTTGTGTGTGATACGTCGCCAGGTTGGAATTTCAACTCTAAGTATTTGATTGGCGTAAGAACAACAGGTTCTGCAGCTCATCTGCAGAGAGGAGACAGCTCGGAAGTGTCATCACTGTCCACGTCCTCGCTGTCCACTGCTCTGCCGTCCCTTCTTTGTCCCTCCCCATCTCTGTCCTCTTTCCTTCCTGCTGCTGCTGCTGCTGCTGCCGTCCGCTCTCCCGCCCCTCCTTTGTCCCCCCCCCCCTCCGTCCTCTTCCCTCCCTGCTGCTGCTGCTGCTGCTGCCGTGCAGCAGGAGTGAGGCAACTCTGCAATGCAGACACAGCAACAACCTCAGACCATCGGACCAATTAGTGTGAGCCGGGATATGAGTGGCAGAGCCAGCAGCCAGTCACAGGGAGAGACTCATTCAGGGGTGAGGAGAGTGTGTGAGACGGAGGGATGAGATTGGGTGGGCTGAATGGCAGATGGCAGAAAGATTGAGATGAAGAAGTTCTGTGTCAATAACACTTTGTGTGTGGATGTGTAAGTCGTCCTCAGTCCAACAGTCACTGGCCCAACTGAGTCCTGTCACCACAGTTCTTCTTACTCATCAGGTGGCTGAGGTCCACCAGCTCGCCCAGCTCCCCTCGCTCCAGGGCCCCCCTCAACAGGGCCCGGCTCAGCGCCGGAGTATGTTGCTGCGGGACGTAAGCCTGGCCACTGGGGGCAGGCATGGACGGAGGAGGCAGAGAGACCGGGACCATGCCGTGGCTGCTTAGGATGTAGCCTTCCTGGGCCGGCCAGCGCAGAGGCAGCGGGTCGCCGTACTCCACCGGGGCGCTGGGGGCCGAGACCACCCTCCGTCGCTCGGGGGAGTCTTGGGGAGTCATGGGGTACACATACTCTCCCGCAGACTTTCTAAGCGGGGCCTTGGGCGTCCCCTTCATTCCTTTCTCCTGTTTGCTGAGGCAGACGTACTGCTGGCGTGGTGTGTCGTTACCTCGACATTCACCTCCGTGTCTCCCGCCTCCGCCCTGCTGGAACAGTCTGGTGGTCAGGTAGACAGAGGGGGGCATACGACAGGGGGAGCCCAGCCCTACAGACCCTCCACCCAGGTACGTCTGACTGGTGTCCCACCCTCCAGAGTTGGAGTCGGACAGTCGCAGGCCTCTACGCTTCTGTTGAGGTGTGTGCTCAGGTGTGGGGAGGAAACCTGGGTCCAGCTCCCCGGACTTCACCCACCCATTAGGCATGACAAAGAGGGTTTCTCCACCCTGAGTGCAGGAGCGCTCTCCTCCACCCTGTCTTGTCACACTCAGCACCGAGCCTCCCATCCCGCCGCTGCTCAGCAGGCCTCGTTCACGTCGCTGGATGGAGGTCTGGGAGGTGCTGCGACGGTTGGCTGGTTTGTGGGCCATGATCCAACAAACGGCAAGGCCGGAGAGCGCCGCCCCGATGGTGAATGCAGAAACCGCAGATGCCACCAGAAGGTTGAGGGAAACAAGGCTCTCGGGTTCTATCAGCAAGCTCTGCTGCAGAATTCCTAAAGATTAGGAGAGTTATGGAAATTGTATTCAGAGAAGCCTTAATGTCTGCCCACAGGACACAATTTGAAAGAACAATTAGAATTGTGACTGGTGACTCTCTGCTCCTTCTACTTTAAACCTTACACAAAGTAATTGATAACAATCGAACGACTAATCTCTGACCACAGGGATAAAGGCTTCAAAAAAAAAAAAAACCCCAAAAAAAACATTTCAATACCATTTTTATGACCAAGCACTTGAAAGGCAGTGACAGACAATGACAAATTTGATACCTTATAAACACACCTTCAGGCTGGTGACTGAAAACTAACATGTCATTATTGACCTCTTGATCTAAAGTTAACATCAGTCAAAGAGTGAAAATGAAGACAAACAGGAAGGAGGTCAAAATTACTCTCTGTTGAATAGAAAAATGGGCAATTACTGGTCATTTTGACATGTCCTACAGCCTCGCTCTTCACTCTCTTAACTAATGAAAACATTAGTGCATACCTGAGACTTCCATCATAAAAAAATCTTATTTAATAGATGACCTGATGAAAAAAACGGAAACCTTTACCAAAGTGCTTTATACGTTGTTTCCTGTAGGGGTTATCACAGCAAATTCAAATACTAAAATCACACTGAAGTGAACAGTACAGCTGTGCACGCCATTTGTCTGCTGCAAAACTAATGCAAAGAATAACAGGAATCTAAGACTTTCACCAATTTCAGCCCCAGCCTTTAATACAGTTAGTAAAGAGTTTGTTTGTTCTCCATCAGTGTGTGGGTTTGTTTTCAGCACTCTCCTCCCACAGCCCATAAACATGCAGGATTGGATTTATCCGCTCTAAATTAGATTGACCATAGGTGTGAGTGTGAGTCTGAATGGTTGCTGGTCTTCATACTGTCCTAACTGTCCATGGGTGTCCTCGCCTGATGACTGAGGACTGTACTGTTAGAGATGCCTTTCTATTAAACAGTGTTTAGTGTCTACTTCTCCATGTAGTAAAGACACTACCCTGTTAAGTTCCTGTAGATGATTCATGTTGTGATCTGGTGCAATACATAAAACATGAATCTTTTAACTCAACTAACTTCAGTGGTGAATCTGTTAAAGAGGAGCTTTTTCTCCACTCTGGCCTGGAGGCTCCACAGGCTCTGTGGTCTGAGAGCGATGCCTGCACTTGTCATCAGCGAGGCTCCGACCACAG